AGATATAGGAAAAGACTTTTTGGACATCCTGTATATGTACATTCATGTAAATCGTTCAATCTCTTTCCTTATTTATATTATAAAGGAACCCAACATTGTGTGGATGGAACAGACGAAGACTATTGTGAACATTTGTTATTGAATGAGTGCAATCCAGAGACTGAATATCGTTGCAAAAATGGAATGTGTATTGATGAGGAATACTTTCTCGATGGAGATATTGATTGTCAAGATCAATCAGATGAACAACGTCATTCAATTTATGCTGTTACAAGCTTATGTTTCGCTCGGCCCAAATTGGATTGCGATGAAAGAATATTAGAAAAAAAAGACCAAATTTCGTGCGGTGATGGATCACACGTATCTTTTAAACAACAATATCGACAAGCGTCAATGTCCACTACTCTTCAAACTTGCTACTCATTTCGCGAGAGACAATGGAAATGTGAACTAAATTATCGAGAGATCATGTGGACAAATCCAGAGAATGGCCATTGTTTTGACTATGTTGATAACACAACAAATGTGCTAAAAGAAAAAAATGATTGTATCTTCATTCACAAATGTGCATTAACTAGACAAGGTCAACATTATTTGTGTCCGTGTACAGGTAATGGTTGTCGTACTCATTTCTATCGCTACTGTGGTTCAAATAATGTCTCATTATTTGCTTATCCGTCTGGACGTATATTCACGCCATTTGTTGAGACTTATTACAAAAGCAATGAGCACAATTTTGATCGTAATAAATGGCCAGATGCTTTTATTTTCACTCGTAGTATTAAATGTAATAATGAAATGCGAGCAACGCCGGATATAACAAACCAGAAAGATTGGCTCCACACGGAAGATGTAGTAGTCAGATCTGTAAGAGTATATAGTGCTCATCCATTAGAAGTGCTTTTGTGTAAGAGGCATGAATCTATCAATGCGAATCAAACGAACTATGGAATTTGTTGGAATGACTCGTATCCCAATCAAGCTAAACATTGCCCAGATTCAATACCATATAATTGTATCTCAAAATATCATGTCAAAGATGGCTTTCATGATTGTGCACGTGGTAAGAAATTCTCCATGATCCTCATTATTTTATATGAAAACAAAAACGAAAATGTTCTTCTAAGGCTAAAAATTCATTTGAATTTCAATTCGAAAATTCAAATGATCATAAGAATTAGAATCCCTCATTGTGAAAATATCAATATAAAAGAATGAATTATAAGAAAACTTGATATGTGTACAGCGCCAAATATTCTCCCCATGTTATTACCCATTGCTCTTAGAAACTGCTTCTTCGACAGTAATTTTTAATTTCATTTCGGTTGAGCAATAGTAAATGTCTCGATACATCTGGACCCTATGGTCTTTGCATCAGGTAGTTAGGTGGATTTTTACGAGCTCAGCTTCGCTGGGTACTTCCTGATTACGCCACTAATTTTTTCATATTTTGTTTGGACTCATCATTCAAAAATGTTCTAATGTTCTTTCTAGGGGGAGATGAGACAATGGATAATTGGTTTGAAGATTATTCATCAATTCAGAAACATCGTCTTCGATGTTCAGAAACTGAACAAACTTGTTTGACAGTCTTGTCAATTGGAGATAATCGTCCCGGTTGTAAGAAAAACAATCACGACGAATATTCTAAAAAGTACAATCTTCAACTGAACCACCTCAAATGTGTTAATAGAGATTCTGCCGATTGTATATTTCTTCGTCAATACATTTCGGAATCATCCATCTTAGACACAAACACCACCGAAAAAGTCGATAACTCGATCAAATTCTGGAATTATTGTGATTCTTATTGGGAAAAAAGTTATGGTGCCGATGAAATTGACTGTCAACAATGGAAATGTCCATTACATTACTCCGCACGAAGATTTTATCAATGTCAAACCGGTCAATGTATTTCCGAAAATTGGTTGTGCAATGGGGAATGGGATTGCTCAGATGGATCTGATGAAGAAGGCATTCAACTATTAACAGAACACACTGTCGGTGGACATAATTTGAAATTATTTCAGCTACTAGGAACAAATTTAACCGAACAGAAAAGTCGATGTTTGAAAGAGAATTCAGAACACTCATTCATGAGATTTTGTGATATCAAAACTGAATATGCTTGTCTATTGGCGAATGTAGATGATGCATTGAACTTTCGATTAAATCGGCCATGTATTAATCTAACACAACTAGGTGATGGTCATGTTGATTGTTACGGTGGATTAGATGAGCGAAATATATTGAATTGTTCATCGTATGAACAGTTAGGTTTTGGATTTAAATGTAATATCAATGACAAATGTATTTCAAGAAGACAACAATGTACTACTGATGATCGATGCTTTAATGGTAACGATCGTCTGCTATGTATTTATTTGTATAATAACACATATGTGCAATGTAATGGTCAACATTCAACCGCGACTGTGAAAGATGTCCACTGTCTTAATGGAAGCTGTTTGCCAGATTCACGATGTAATGGCTTGGCAGAATGTCCATACGGTGAGGATGAATACTATTGCCCAACTGGAAGTTCCTCTACAACAAGGAGCTACCGACCGCGCATTAAGAAGTCTTATTTTCCTTCAATCAAAATACAACTACCAAATTATTCTCCATTTTCTTTCTTAGTAAATAAATGCAATGAAAACAATGACAAGAGCAAAACGTTAACATCACAGACATCAATGACTGGTAAGTCCACATTATAAATATGATATTTTTTGTGCAATTGATTGCTTTTGTTGATTGGTTTCAGCTATTCAAGATCAAATTTCGCCCACAAGATCATCTCGACAAAAACTGGCGAACCAGTATTCTGAGGAAGGTTGGATATGTAATCGTGGTGTTGGGGGGGTTAAAAAATCGTTTAATGTAAGCCAGTTAACTGTACAATGCTTTTGTCCACCAAGTTATTACGGAGATCGGTGCGAATTCATGAGTGATCGACTAACAGTGTTCATTCGCTTTGAAAAACAGACTAATGTTTTGTCAAAAGGTGTCATCAAAATATTAGCTCTACTCGTTTTGATCATCAATGATACAGCAACAGTTCTCGATCGTCATGAAGTTCATTTTATATCAGCGCTTGACAATTTTAAAGAGAAACAGAAATTCTATTTTGTTTATCCTCAACCTCATCAATTACGATCAAGTACGCATCGTTATACAGTTCGTTTCGAAGCATATCAATTGAATGAAGATGAGAGTATTGAATTTCTAGCTGTTTGGATCTATCCAGTTCCATTTAATTTTTTGCCATCACAACGTCTCGCTAAAGTGTTAAAATATACTCAACAAGCACAACTCGAACCAAACCATACATGCTTATCAAAAACCAAACCATGCTTGAATGAAGGCAGGTGTCATCCAATTATGAATAAGTTGAGCGACATTCATTCATATTGGTGTGAATGTGGAAACAGTTCATATGGTTCTCATGGTGAATTCAAAGATCAATCTTGTTTTATCATTCCAACAAAACTGTGAGTATACCATTATATTGTGATTATGTATTATTTCTTCCTCTTTCTATGAAACAATAACTTATTGTAGCAACTATTGTTCTCCTACGTCTTTGTGCCGTTCGCAATATGATCATTATGGACAGAAGCCATTTTGCATATGTTCAATGAATTCATATGGTCCACGTTGTTTTATTGATCGACCATGTCAGATGAAAATCAATCAAAATCCATGTCAAAATGGTGGAATATCCTTAACCAAATATCAACATCATAATTTGATTGATGCTTGCATCTGCCAATGTCCAAAGTCTTATTTCGGTCCAATATGCCAATATCGTGCAGGTGCAATCCAAATTATTTATGATTTTGAAAATCAGTCAGTCACTTTGTCTGGTGACCAAATTAGTGCAACAGTAATACAGTTATTCGATATTAATGATCATGAGGAATTGAAATTAAAAAAGCAAGTCCTTTATAAAGATAGTTTACCTTCACATTTAATAATTAATTCTGAGAATATGATTCATCCAATGTTTGGTTTAGTTAAATTATATACCAATCAATCAACCATTCAGTATCATCTATTATATACTAGTTCAAGTGCAGGATCATCATTGAATCTGACTCTCAGATTTAAGAAAGAGAACTATTGTCCACACTCACATGACATCTTCAATTTGCGTAATGAAACATATCAAAGTATGTTTTGCTCATTGATCTGAAAACGTTATTGATTAAAAAAAACACAATATCGATACGAAAGTCGAATGATAAAATTCTTTACTATATGAGAGATGCTAAAAGCTATGAAGGATAGAAAAAGCGATGAGTAATGACAGTACTGAAACAGGATACTAAGAATATTCCAAAAGTAGTGGCAATAACATTGTAATATCGTATAGTAAGCTTGAAAAAAACTTTTTACTAACGAAAAGTAATCATACTTTACATAACGATAGGACTGTCAAGTCATAATTTTCTTTCATTCTTGAGCTATAAGATACGTAGTGATAAGGGGTGTCTCAAGCGATCATCATCGAGTTGGCATCATTGGCCTGCATTTCCAAATTAGTATATGTGCTAAAACTGCCTGAGATCACTGGAAGAGATAGTTTTCACTAGTAGGAAGTTTTCAAGCTTACTATGCGGTACTAAAATGCCATTGTCACCAATTTTGGAATATTCGGAGTAGAATATCTTCTAAAATGTGTGAGATAGGCTTTCGATCATTTCAAGCAAACGACAGCTGTATGATTGGAACAAATATTGTAAAAAAGCTCTCTTTGTATACATTCTGACTATTTCTGTCTTTATTTGATAGTTCAGAATGTTGTTGCCAAGTATCACACTTTATGCGACAAGACTACGTCTAAAAGTTCACCATTATTATGTTTTGTTGATGATGACTATTTCTGTCTATGTGATATAAACGATATTGCTCAGTGTTTTCCTTACAATAAAAAATTCGATCAATGTAAGCATTGTTTGGCACACGGGCAATGTATCAAAGGTGATATAGATACACCAAGCGATTATTTATGTCTATGTCCTCGATGTCATTTCGGTTCAAAATGTCAACACAATACAAAGTTGTTCAGTTTCACTTTGGACTCTCTTCTTAGTCCTGATTTGTTGTCGTCATCACTCGTCAAACAAAAAGTATTTTTAAGTATATATATCATTGTGCCGGCATTGCTCTTAATCTATGGTACCATTAATAACCTCTTTTCACTCGTCACCTTTCGACGACCAAAAACACGTCTGACTGGAGCTGGTCATTATTTTTTCACTGTTACTGTGTTCTCTCAACTATCATTGTTTTGTCTTGTCAGCAAAATTCTCCACATTATCATCAATATACGAGGAATCTTTATTCAGCCAATGGTCAACACGGTTTTGTGCAAGACTTTGTCTTTTCTTTTGTCATCAAGCACTCGAATTTGTTATTGGTTAATCGTTTGTGTGGCTATTGAACGTATGTATGTGACAATCTATCCAACAAAACGATGGTTACAACAACCTAAAATTGCAAAAAATATCATCACATTTATAACTATATGTACATGTGCTTCACATGTACACGAATTGATTAAGTACACCATTGTGGATGATCCCAAGTACACACAAAACGGTAATTCATCATTTTCTGTTGACTAAATGTTTGTGATATGTGATATAGGAAAATGGTGTGTAACACAATTGAGTCATTCTCTTCAAATCTATAATCAAACAAATATAATGTTTCATTATTTAACTCAATTTCTGGTGAATCTCATTTGTGCAATCACACTTCTGATTCTTATTGCTTGTACTCGTGCAAATGTGGATAAAAAGAAATCTCGTTGGCAAACATTTCAGAAGCAATTCAAGAAAAAGAAGGAAATGTTCATTCCATCAATGATTGTTATTATTAGTGCTTTACCTCATCTCATCATTTCTTTTTTATTGGCCTGTAGTGATCTTGATACAAAGTGGCAACGACATATGCTCGTCATATCGTATTTCTCTGCTTACGTACCACAAAGCTTAAGCTTTCATCTGTATGTTCAACCATCGAAATTCTTTTTGCGAGAATTCCATGCAACAAAGGTGTGGAAGATACTGAAACGATAATGAAACACAATAAATTGATAATAACCTACTTTTTCTTCATAAAGTTTATGATTAACCTCTACATCTAGCTTGTGTTCGTTGGATGTCTGCTCTTTGTTTACAAAAATAAAAATATATCTATCATGCTATTTCATTCAATAGATGTGTTACCCGAAAAATCTTGTGAGCCGTTGCAGGTAAACCAAATACATATGTGATAGAGGCAGCTGTTTAACGATGTTTGTTGCAAATCGCTGATTTTTTTCTTGCATTTTTACGAAAAGCTCTAAAACTAACGAATATGAATAACTCGTTTTTCTGATAGCTATATCTCTAGAATAGCTCAATTTTTCTGTTGGATCATCAGTCCATTCAACCATTGCAAAAGTATCACTGCTTCCACAATTGTTGCCATTTGTAAGGGTGTGAATGTGGATGTGGGTGTGGGTGTGGATATGGTGTGGGTATGGTCTCTTCTTATTTTAACCCGCACCCATGCTCACACCCCACACTCACCCACATCCTGTTACACCCCCAATAACCAGCAGTCGGATCAGCCCTGATTGTTACAATGGTACTAACTCTTTATTTTTTTTTCTCTCATTTTTATGACCTGTAGAATGCAGTAAACTACATCGACTTATGAGATGAAAATTTTGAATACATGCTCCATATCATTCCGTAACTTCTACTGATTTTTCAAGAATCAAGCGATACTATTCCAACAAAAAGTTTTTTTCCTTTAACCTAGTGATACGTACAATAAAATGCCTAAAACAAGACGAGACTAAAGTAGACAGATACAAGAGGAGTCCTATAGACAGTCATTTAAATTAAAAATACTCTCATCCTCAGAGCATTATTATATTGGTCAATCTGTATCTAAAATATAAAGAATCTGGGAAAAAAAGAAGGCCAAGATATTTGTCACAAGTAATGATAGCTATCTCAACAAATAGTTGCAGTCACTCCTCGTATTCTCATTAGTCGACGGTGTAGGCAAAGGTAAATGACCTTTGTCAATGTATCGTGACAAAAACCGCAATATGAAAACTACGTAATATCTTTACATAAATCTATAGTTTGGTAACACGAAATATTAAAGCAAAATTCTTTGTTATTTTCATAAAACATAATTCTGTTAAAAAGACAAAAATTGAAACCAATAGTTATGAATGCTCATGATAGACGATATTTTGAACGACAATGACAACGAGAGAAATAACCTCATTTTTCTTTCATTCATTCTATTAGTCAGTCATTATTGATTCAGACTGAAAAAAAATATATCATTATTCTCATTGACGATCATCGACGACATCGGTCAAAAAAAAATGAAACGACCATATATAAATACTCACGTCTATGGTTTTAAAAAAACAGACGCGCAGATAAATATGGAAGATTTATCATTGAACTTAAATGCTTTACCAGATGAAATTCTTATATTTATTTTGAAAAAATTGGATCACGTCGAAGTACTCTATTCTTTAACAGGAGTTAATAAACGACGCACTACAATTGCACATGATTCGATTTTTACAAGTCATTTAACATTATATTTTTCGGATAAATGCATCAAGCCATTACCTGATCCAATCCTTGATCGATTTTGTTCACAAATTTTACCAGAAATTCATCCTAAAATCGAATGGCTTAATCTTGAACCAACATCTATGGAATGTATTCTTTGTGCTACAAATTATCTATATTTATATGGACTTGGTTTCTATGGTGTTAGTATAGAACAAGCTATATTTCTTACTGGTAGGTTATTTCACTTCAATTATATTAATTCTGAATCCGTGAGAAGTAAATAAAATCTCAGTATTATTTTATCAGATTTACACTAGTAAAGTAGATCATTGATGAATCTAAGTATGACTTTGTATGCTGCATTATTATAGTTATACATAAATTGAACAAATCAATAATATGATTTAATTACTATAGAAAATAATTAGTATGTTTTGAAAAGGCATTTTTTATTTTTAGAAAACACTGGTTTTACTCCTCTAGTCAAAAATCAAATATCATCACTCTTTATCGATATTAGTAAAGATAAAAAGATACCAGAAATTTATGACAATAAAACTATATTTAAATATATCTTTACTATGTTCACTAATTTACAACATCTAAATTTCGGACGATCTTTAATGTATCATCAACGATTTTCATTTAACACGCCATCTCCCAATGTGATTTCCTCAAATATATTAGAATTACATATTACTGTGCTTTCTTTCATTGATGTACTTTATTTACTTGATGGACGTTTTAACCAACTTCGTACGTTTCATCTTAAGATTAATTGCATTCAAAGTAGGAGTTCAAATATCCATAGTGAGGTAGATTTTTTCTGGTAAATACCAAATTTATTAAGATAAATTGAATTACATTCTCCTTTCTAAGAAAAACTACCTAATATAAGATGTTTTTCACTATATTCTGATATGTGTGTGCATTTTTATGATGAATCAATTCTACCATTTCTGCATCGAATGTTAAATTTAGAAAAACTTGATTTACATCTTAAACTCGATCATTATAAAGGATTTATTGACGGAAATGATTTTAAAAAAAGATATTCTAAATTATATGTTACGAGGGTGTGGGTGTGGATGCGGAAAGAGACGTCTTTGTGAAGGACTACCACACCCGCACCCACACCCACACCCAAACATTAATCTACACGTAGAATTATTTTTTGGGTCATCCTGAATACTAAAGAGTAGAATTCATCGATAATAGAATACTACCTTGCCTATCAATCCATTATTTGAATCAATCTAAATATAACAGGAAACAATTCGTTTAATTTTAAATAAAAAGATCACTGGTCGAACTGTTCTACTAATCAGCCTAAACATAAAGCAACAGAATTAATTCCTATTAAAATAATAAACTACTCAAAAAATTATTCTTTGGGTCAACCTAAATGTTGAGAGAATATATAGATCACATTAAAACAAGTACTTATCATAGTAAATCCATTCTTTTGCTTAACCTGAATACACAAGAGTAGGATTAGTTTGTATTAAAATAATAACTTTACGCATAAGATCGCTCTTTGCATCATCGTAACTATACAAGAATAGACTTGATTTATAATATAATGATTACTTACCTACAATTCCATTCCTCTCATCAACCTCAATACAAAGAATAAAACTAATTCATATTAAAATTATTTGGATGTGGGTGTTGACGAAGAAGAGAAGCGCACCCACACCCACAGCACACCCCACACCCACCCACACCCCTCTTATACGATCATCATTAACCAGTTTAACAGGACTATAGATATTACAAAATACAAACAGAAAAAACAAATAGTCAATCAAGAAAATGAATGAGAAAGATGAACATCATAATCAATAACATCATAAACATAAAATTCTAAACTCTTATTATTGAATTAAAATTATCATCAATATATATTCAATGGAACAATAATTCAATGTAATGATAAATTCAATGTAATAATAATTCAATGTGATGGTATTATGAAAATTAATAACATAATAATGTAAATTAATAACATGAATGAAATCAATGATATGTTTAAATAAGTAACATAACAATATAACTAATAATAAAGTATCATTTATTGAGTTATTATTAAACATAAATGAGTTTATTCCAAGTATCAATATACCTACTTATATAACTCATGTTTGTGTTTTGTAACATCTATAGTCCTGTTAAACTGGTTGATAATGATCGTATTAGATCGAAAATTTCCACAAAACAAAATAAAATCTATCATTATAGATTTCTACATTTGTTTAATTAACTAGATATTGCATTAAATCTCATGTAGTATTGTTTTCAGTCCATCACTAGTGGCTAGATAGATAGATAGTTAGATAAATAATTAGATAGATAGTTAGATAGATATGTAGTTCGATAAATAGGTAGATAGATGAATAGTTAGATAGATAGGTGAATAGTTAGATAGATAGGGAGTTAGATGGATACCCACGAAAACAATTTTGTTGAAAAATGTGGTCGACAACGGTAATGACAACCGCGATTTCTAGCGGTGTTAGAGAACTGTGGGAGTCAAACCATTTATTCGTCTCTTTAAAACCGCCGAAAACCGCGTCCTACTGCGGTTTCCGACGGTTTTAAAGAGGCGAATTAATGGTCTGATTCCCGCAGTTTTTTAACACCGCTAGAAATCGCGGTTGACCTTATCGCGATCAAGCGCGTTTTTTCAACAAAATTTTTTTCATGGTTGTTCAGCTAATAGTAAAAAACTTGTCCGTCCTAAATGACTTTCAGCTTTTTGAAGTTTATCAGCTACATCATTTATTTGACCGGTTATATAATCACCATTTGTTAATAATGTTGATGTGATTCAAGTGGATAATATTGTTTACAATGTACACCAAAATCTTCAATTTTATTTAATGGTACCGGTTGATATTCAATAACGTCAGTTTCAGCTTTATATCCTTTTGGGTATGTACGAATTGCGCCGATATTAACTTTACCGGCAGATATTATTCAAGTTGGATCAACCTACATGATATTCCTTTTCTTTTTGTTTTTATGAATAAAAATTAATTTTTCATACCACAATAGTAACAAATGAATCTTGATATTACTGATTTTGCATTTGTGTATCAACATCAATACCTGATAACCAACAACCATAACCTGGATGAGAATGATACTATCCAATAACATTTTTCGGACGATTGACTTCTTTAGCCCATAATGTATATGAACTCATATATTTATATGGGTCTTGTTGAGCATTTACACGAGTTTCTATTAGTCGATATTGTATAATTAATATTTCGAAATGAAATTTTCACCTGTTCCTTCAACTGGTAAAGCAAATGAATCTATAACAATCATATTTTTACTATCAATTTTTCCTAATAACATGCCCCTTACTTCAAGTGTACCACCTGAACGTGCATGCATAACTAATTTTAACAAAAACAAAGCAGAGATTTTACATCGTTTAAAATAATTTGGACTAAAAATAACATTTTTGCTTAATAAATACGGAAGCTTTAATTTTACTTTTGTAACCATGACCGATTTTGTAAAATCCCTTGTTGAACAGCAGCGTCATATGCATAGCTTTCATCAGCTGCTGTTATTTCTTGAATATGATTTGCTTTTTCAAATTGAGTTAAATTTTCTTTGGCAGAACCTGCCATGTGGAAATAGAGAAAACATTCTAAGATTATTTTAAAGAATAAGAGATAAGAAAATCAAATATGAAAATTGCAATAACTATTGGAATTTTACAACACTATGGTATGATTCCTTATTGTCAAAGTATAAGTGCAATAAGCATGCTCTGGCTTTATATGTCACCAATAATATCATAAAATCAATATATGTCACATACTCACAAGAGAAGTTTCGGACGCATCATGATATAATCGAAATGAAGGATCTCTATCATTTGTAATTTAATAAAGCATCTTAAACACAAAATGTAGTTTGCAAAATTATTCAAATAAATGACATAAACACAATGGTCAGCAGAATGTAGATTCATAATCTGTCACATCGCTAACTGAAGTGAGATGATGCTTTTGAAAAGTCTAATCATTTTAAGAAAAAAATTCTGATAAAAGATTCTGTAAAACTTCTACAAATATACCGTCTAGTTTTCAAAAGTGCTTTTTGGTAAAGCCTCTTAATACTTCAACAATTTGATTGTTTTGAAGCGAAATACACAACTATCTCCTTGACTTTGATGTTAAGTTGAAAGGTAACCTTTTGTTTGATCAACTAATCAATATTGATATTTTATTTTGGATTATTTGCAGAAAAGATAATTATTTGTATTAGGTAAATGCAGTTGATAACAACGGCACTGATAGTCTTAACAATTGATTGAACAGGTGGATAGGTTATCAATCGATTAGAAACGAAAAAATTATTTGACACTAATCAGATTAAAGTAAATTGATCAATTAATTCATCATTTATAATATAATAACGAGCTGAAATGTTTGATAGAAATGATGAATCATATTCGATTTGTTTACTATTTTCTTTTCGTTCAAATATTTTTCCTTTGTAATATGGAGATCAAATCAAAGCGAATTACTTATTCCATGTTTTTACGTATTCCATGTTTATGTCTGTTCATTGTCGTCATTCTCAATCAGCATCATCGTTGTTTCTGAACATGGAGCGAACAAAAAGACAACAAGACGAGACAAGCCAGCATTATTACGAATAAAACAAACAAAAATTAAAAAATGAAAGCAAGACTTTATATTTAGATTTGATAAATTCTATTTTCTTTAATTAATTGAAACAAGTCAGTTATCTACACTCTATTTTATCATCTAATCCTTATCTTTTATTTGATTTAGATCTTGTTTAGAAGATTTAGCAAATGAAGTATTTTATGAAATATTTGAATATATGGATATTTATCATATTTATGAAGGATTTTTCAATCTTAATACACCATTTAAAAATTCACTTATGCATTCAAATGTTCCAATTCAAATAAATATTTCAAGTGTTACAATCAAATTTTGAATGGTATTATAAAAATATAATTGTTCTCAATATACATCGAATAAATATTCTTCGATTATCAAATCCATTTACTGTTGGTATTGTTTTTTTCACAACCATGGCTTATTTCAACATTTCTTCAACTTGAAACCCCATGTCATAGGAATCGGATCAGTTTTAGCGGTAAACCGGAAAAAAGTAGTGGTTAACTGCCGGTTTTTGCCCGGGTATCATCACATGGGACATTAATTCTCGATAATATCAATGCACAATATTTTAATAATATTTTTGATCATTTAATTATTTTACCACAATAACATTCGTTAACTATTAATACTATTGATTATATTCAAAATTCAACTCTGTTTTTATATTCGTATATTTCGTTTTCCTAAAATAAAATATTGTAAAATTAAATTCGAATCCAAAGATGATGTACAATTATTACCTAAATCTACTGACAAATTTAGTCCAATTGAATGTCTTGTTATTAATAATCGTTTTCGTTTTCCATCATTTAATAATTTATTATCTTATCTACATGAACTTCGACATTTATCAATTATTTATCTCAATGGATTTGATTTAAAAGATATGGAATTCCATTCTCTCGTATTAAAAAATTTAAAATACATTTCACTTGAACTTGATTTAGCTTCTTTCAATCAGCTGAAAAAAATTAATAAACAATTTCTTTTATTATGTCGAAGTTTTACGTTTTACAACAAAAGCTGATTCAACATATTTAGATGCAAAAAAATAAGAACAATTATTAGTATCCGATATGCCAAATTTACGTATATTTGATATAAATCATGAAGGTTCTTAACAAATTAATCAAGTAACATATCATGATTTAATTAATCAATTTAATTCGTCATTTTATATTGAAAAAAAAAATGGTTTTTTATACATCAACATTATTGGCAAGAAACTATTAAAAGTGGAATATTTTATTCAACAAATCCATATCGGTAAAAATGGATTCATTCGATTTTATATTACTTCTCTTCTTTTTTTTCTAGAAGAAAAGACTATATGTTTTATTAGGAATTAGATGAACAACTTTGCTTACATCTTCAAGAAAATAATTTAAATTCGGTTAAACATCTTCATATTTGTAGTAATACAGCATCAGATACTTGTATAAATCATTTTCCAAATGTTACTGTATTAACTATTACACACAAATTCTTTTTAAACATCTGATGATCCAATATCAACAACTCTTAACCAAATTGTTTCATTAAAACAAATTACTAAATTAGTTATTGAACTTTACGATTTTCATTTCGAAGAATTAATTGATTTATTACAATTTACTCCAAATTTATATACATTAAAATATGATTTAATATGTTTTCATCAAAATACGGCAACATCAATTCAAAAAAATGAAGAATTTTATCATATATTAGATGTAAAAAAAGTCAAACATCTAGATATCCGTGAAACATATACATTGGAAGAAATTAAAAAGCTAGTAAATTCATTTCCTCAATTACAATATTTTCAAACGGCAATAAATAAAAAAGAAATTAAACAAATTATACCATTTTCATAGTCAAAAACTAATATTAAAACAAGTCAATTGTTGTTTTTAACGTATTAAAGAAATACCTAAAATATATGTTTACGAGAATTAGATATGTTAATTAAATTTGAAAATTTACGTAAGGATTATTTTATTGAATTTGTTAATTCTCATATATATTTATGGTGGTAGTAATTTAACTGTTTATGCTATATATTTTATATTATTTTATATGGATACTAATTTTTTCTTTTGAATAAATAAGAAAATGAATTGCTAATCTAACTATCCCATGTATAAAAAAATAATACTAAGATGACTTTAGAAACTTTAGCCAACGAGTTATTCATTGATTTGAATATTTGCATGCTATTTATCTTATTCGTGCTTCTTCTGAACTCAATTCTCGTTTTGACAACTTGCTTTTCGTACATTTTCGATCCTTGATCTCGATTTTTGATTTGACAGCAAATCTTATTTTGACATTATTTGTCAAAAATATCTTCCAAGAATCATTGATCGAATTATTTCATTGCATCTTACGAATAATGGCAAAATACCGAATATATCTAAATTTTTTCTTTCTCGTCGTTTCACTCTTAACCGTTTGAGAACATTTTTTCTCAGAAAAACGAAAACCTACCGAGTTAATCAGCATATATAATTAATAATTGTTGTTCGATATGATTCGGTTGCAAAAAAATTGTTAATGTATTTTTGTTATTCATTTTATTAAGTTAATCCAAACAAAAGTAAACTTACAACAAAGAAAAATAAGCATAGAAATCTTCTGAATGTGCAATTTTTTTAGGACCTATACTTAATTGTTTCACTTGTATACAATTCAGTCGTATTCTATCGTTTGTAAAGTTTCTCGTGACGTTTCTTAAATCATTGTAATTTACTGATAATACGGTTAGATGAGGTAGACGTGTTTTTCTATCATTAAGAAATCGGTTGACATAATCACCATGAGCCAATAAAAGATAAAGCGAAGTAAGATAAGGATATTCAATAGTTGTTGGGTATAATTGATTATCATTATAATTTAATATTGGTGACTGTGACGTAGCATTATAAACAGTTAATACTTTAAGTAAAGGAAAACACCAAGCAATTCTCATGAAAAATTCATGTTCGAATGGAATGTTATCATCCACCACCAATCTTATAACATGATTGAAAATAATATTTGGAAATTTATTATCAATAAACTGGAGACCATCAAACATGAATGGTAATGAAAATAAATGATATTTCACATTAGGAAGACGTCGATACTTGATCATACACTCCACTTGTTGATCTATAATGTTAGCAAAAGTTTAGAATATCATCTTTAGATAAATGATGAACGAAATGATCCAATTGAGAAAAAATTAAAAAACAAAAGTTGAACATATGAAGTCGTGGCATATGAACAATAATTTCATTATAAATGTTTTTACCATCAATAAAAGGAACTGGGCTATCAATAATAAGATTTAAGTTTAATACTTCAATATTTGACATACGACGTAAAAGAGGTAAAATTTCACCATCATATGCATCACTTGAACAATCATATTGTAAAGAAAAACATTTCAAATGAGATAGATTCTAGAAAATATAAATCAATATTGAAATGTATCATTATCGATTAAAATAAGAAAGTTTCCACGAAATAAATGATTGAAAACTAGCTCTAATAGTATTTTATTTATTTTAAAATTTTTTCAATTTTATAATATATATATATTCTACAATGGTGACTAAAATAATTATATTGTATTTTTAAATATCAAGCAGATAAGAAATAATAAATACTGAGATAACTCGAAAAATTTACGTCAATATTATTCATTATAGTTATATATATGAAGAAAATATAATTTATATAGGAAACAAATGATATCATCCGATAAACATGACTATTTCCATTAGTTAAATCATGAAAATTTTCATCGAGTAACTCATCAAAAAAGATTAATCTAATGAAGTCTAAACTTACCATATTGTAGACATACGTTGGATTATATTCCTGTTTAACAATAACAACATTCAATGTATTTAATTGTTTGAGACGACCATCAAGTAAAGCAAGAAGATCATGATAATACATTACATGAATACATAATTTGTAAAGAGTTGAAGAGTAACAAGTAGTTAAAGATAAATCACAAAGTACTAAAGGTGGAAAAAACTTCGGATATGATCGAATAATAGATAAATGATTTAGATTTTCGAAGAATTTCAAAATATATCCATAAACATATGTCATATAATGTGTCCATGATAGTTCATTAAAATTATTTTCAAATACAAGGATAAGATCTGTAATTTGTCGTTGAAGAATATATCAAAATGGTGATTCAACTAAATAAAAAATAGATATTACCTAGTCTATCGAAGTCTTTATTCAGATCAGTATATAAGTTATTTACCTGTAAAATAATGTGAAGCAACTTTAACATTAACATTGAAGATTTTCAGTTCACTTAAATTAGGATAATCACCAGCAAGAATACGTTCCATAGATAATGAATTAAGGATAAGAGATTTAACATTATAATGAATTCTTGGCAATATATTCATGAAGAATCGATCAATAATTGGATCAGAAATTGATAAAATATCATCAGTTAATGTTGTAAATACAAAATTGAGAGTATTAGTGAAAGTATTTTCTTGTGTTATGTTGACAAGTCGTTGATTATTGACATCAAACAATGAATAAAGAACATCCATGTTATCAAGGTTTTTAAAATGATAAATAAAATTTCAGAAGGAAGATCAAGATTAATGTTACACTGATTCATATTGATTTTGACTAATACTTCTCTTATGATGCATATATATATATATGTCAGCGTCCATACTCGGATTCCGTCCAATCTCAGATTCGCCTGAAAATTGAGCGTCCAATCTCAGATTGGCCTAGGCAAATCTCAAATTGACTTAGGCGAATCTCAGATTGGCCTGATAAATTTACGTCCAATCCGAGATTGGAAGGAATCCGAGTTTGGACGCCAACATATATATGCGTTCATTGTTGATTTGTGTTCGTCGATGACATTCAATGAAATGAATGGATGACCTCAGTGACAAAAATATAATGTCAATGAAGAATAGACTAATTAGTTCATAAATGAACATTTATTCTGCTATTTTTCCTTTATCTTCTATATTATTTTCTTCGATAGTCATTGTTCTTATATATATGATATCGATGAACTCACGTCCAGAAAGAACGAAAAGAGCTACAAAGCGTTGGTTCTTGCCGTTAACTGATATTTCTGAAAGAGAACTGTTAGAAGAACATCATGAATATTAACTTTACCTATCAGCTCTTGTTTAATTTTCATAAAGGTTCATTTACATTATATGTATAATTATTTTAACATCTGATCTTTATTCGCTGCAAGTTTTAAACGTTGAACATAAAATTTTTGAAAATATCCTAAAACTGAGAATATCGAGAATTGTTAAAAAAGAAGTTCATGAGTATTAGATGTGATGCTGAGATATTGTTCATGAAATGCAATTAATTCTAACAACTCGTGTTCGCTAATGAAACTAAACAAGATTAATCTATCGCTTTCTTGCTGTAGTTATGATGAAATGATTTGTTTTTTATTCATCCATCATTTAAACATATAGCATAAAGAATATTTCCTTTTGAAAATCATATATGACATATGGGGGGTATTTTTGGTTTGAAATACATTTAGAAGTATTTTATTCGATGATGAATTCATATTAATTGTATCTTTTAATGTTTCATCATAAAGTTTTGTAATCATAAAACAATTCCATAATGATATTGTTGAATCAATACTACATATTAATAGTAAAGTACCTGTTAATGGACTAAATTCAATTGAAGAAATAGTTTGTTTATGTAAAAAATAAATGTGTTATTTGACGATTATTTTGTATATTTCATAAAATAATTTCACCATTCCAACAATCAGATGCAAGAAAATGTCCATTTGGTAAAAACGAATTGAACTTATTTGATGACGATGATCATGAAAAATTCTTACAAGTGAATTTTAATTATGAATATTCCATAAATGAATTGTATCATCATTATGTGGTGATGCTAAATAATTTGAATTTGGATGAAATTCAACGAGATCAATGGGACCACTATGACCGTATTCAGGCTAAATTCGAAATGGACTTGTTTTATCAATTGTTCATAAACAAATAAGACCATCGATACTACATGATGCAAATATATGACCAATTGAAGCAACTGTTACTAGAATAAAAAAAATGATTAGAAAGTTGTTTTCTTTTTTCAAATCAAATTTACCATCGAGTATAGGTTGAAAATGCATTTTATATACAACAAGACATGATCAAGGAGATGAATGCCATAAACGTATTGTACAATCCTGTGAACCAAATAATAAATATGTTTGTTTCTTTGGTTCAAATGCTAATGCAAATATATCAGCTGTATATACAATAAGTTAACGTTCGTTTGGTATTTGTAAACATGATGTAGTATCAAGAATATTCTCTTGAGTATTATTTATATTCGAATGTGAAAGTAGATAACGAAGATCTTTTGCTGATTTCATTGAATATAATTTATTATTAGAATTTAATGAACATATCTAAATTTCTGATGATTGAAAACCAATAGCTAATAGACGACACTCATTTGATAGAGTTATACAATTAATTACTTGTTTTGTAGCTTTTAATGTAAATAAACATATTGATGGCAATTGATGTAGACCAAGACGAGGTATATTATTTGAATCGATATTATGAGGAAAACGATTATAATTAATTTGTGGATGTAATGGTTGTAGATCTCGTCGATTAGATTGAGCAAATAAAAACTAAAAATATTATTGAATTTTTATTATCAAATAAAGAATAAGAAAAATCAGAAGTAGCTATTTATTTTGGATAAATAAAAAATAAAATAATCATCAAAACCTTTTGGCACCAGTGATAGAGCCTGTCCAGTCCAACATTTTTTGGGCCTGGACGCAATACCAAATCGTATTCTTGATACTGAATGAAGCTTTTAATTCGTACCTGATAGGCACTGCGGAACGGTGACCAATCAATTCGTCGGGATCATTTCGTCGCATATAAACGAGAACATACATGAATTGAATTAAGTGATTTAGTTTAGTATTTTATTTAATTAATCACGTAAATGAATGCTCTACTATGGAGTTATTAGGTCTAAATGCTGGATAGAAGACACACTTCGAAGGAACAAATAGTTTAGTTCTAAAAATATTGCTTACAAAATCCTTCTGTTAAAGTACAAATAGTCTGCTACTAAATGAGACTCAAGTTCTTTCAGAAGATGACTTCTGAAGAAATCTTCAGCTAAGAAAAACCAAGAAGAGATGAAGGCAAAATTCGCTGTTCCTTGGAGTGTATGCCTGATTCAGTATTTTTTGGGACTATTTTCTGTAATTTGCAAAGCTGCTCGGTCAGCAGATGAAGTGGCTTTGAAAATTTTCAAAATGGTTTTCAGATTTTCGATGCTGAGAACATTGAATAAAAATAATCGTCTTAAATTTTATAACACTAGAGTGTTCTTAGGATATCATTATTTAGAGGTGAAACATTTAAATCTAAAAAAAAAATAAATCAAGAAATAAATTTTTGAAAATTTAAATTAAGTTTTTTGAATTTAAAGTGGGAAAATTTTAGGAAAAGATGATTCAAATTGATTTTGACTTTATTGAAGGTGTTACAAGTCAAGCTTTTTTTTTCATGTTTTCTAGATATAAAAATAGTCCTTCCTCTACGAATTGTGCTAATCAATTTGGGTGTTTGAGCATCTTTATTATATAGAAGATTGAAGTTCAGAAATCATGTATTATCTATTCAGAAATTTTCATATATATGAGCACATGCTGAACTTAATTACCAGATTTTCCTCTTACTTCTTATGTATTACTGCTTAAGTCTTGTATTTTCCAAATATCGATGACTAAATCAGATTAAAACAAATTATTGGATTGAACAAAAAAATTTTCTAATTTAAAATTAATTAAAATTTAACTCTTTCGCGCTCAAAAATTTTAATTTTTTAAAATTTTAAATCTCTCTAAATTTAAATTTAATTTAAATTTAGGTTAAACAAATTCTAAATTGACACTCCTATCATTATTTGCGGAAAAAAGTATTATCAACAAAAAGTCAGTAGACTGTAATGGAAAATACTTTAGAGGATGATTAATTAAATAACATACTAAACTAAATCAGTTGCTTCAATTAATGTATGTTCTCGTTTATATGCGACGAATTGTACTAGTGGCGGCTTTATTTAAGAAATAACTTATTTCAAATAAGAACATCTTGACTGAATATGCTCAGTTCTGAACACTATTTAATATATTCCAATATTAGTACATCGTGGACAATATTTTTTTTTGTATTGTCTTATTAACATATACGTGAGCATTTAATAATTTTGGGGTGGATGTGATTTGGTATGGGATCTCAATGTTTGTCCAACTATTGTTTTAAGTGAGGACATATAGCTTAGGGTATGGATGTGCAGATTGACGTTGGTAGGATTTGGCGTGTATTAATGGTCATCAGATGTCGGTACAAGTCTGAGTTTAAGTGATGATGTGTGAAATTAAAGTGTATCGTCTGCGCCGGGTAAGAGTACTTGTGATTGCTGCTATGCATGGATATGCTTATATAATCGATCAAAATTTACATTCACACTCACATTGATGTTTGTGGTAGTTTTGATGGAAGAAGTATCAAGGCGGATAGAGTTATGCTTCATTATTTATTTTAATCATATCGAAATTATACATCTGATACATAAAATGCTTCCCATGCCATACATTTACTTGAAGTACTATCGGTATACAGTGGTACTTGAAGACATCGCCATTATATCGATGGTGCACCGACGGTTTTCTTGAGTACCGTAGTAAACCATCTGTCAAGGAAGTGTCAAAATATATAGGATGTTTCATTAGTTTTGAGACTCGATAAAATTAGTTTATTTACACATAGAGAATGATTCCTAATCGAATGTATTTTATATGAGCTTTGAGTCTTCGTGACGATCTTTCAAATGACATACAACTCAATGACATTTTCTCTTCTAGTAATAAAAGTACAAGCATGTGAATATAATAATAAATTTTTCGAAATCGACCAACATTAAATGATGTCCTATGATAACTGATAACAAGTTATTAAGTGACATTTTTTCATAATTTTCCTTGACGTTGAAGGCTGAAATTTCAAAAAAATTGAGCACCGAAATTGATGTATTTCGCCGGTGGCTATAGTGTCAGAGGGCTCAAACTTTCAAATACAAAGGATCGTGATTAGATATATGTGTGATAAAAATTTCAGCCTTCTATATCAAGTACAAGTGGGAAAAATGTCATCAATAATTGATCATCAAATATTATGGGACACCTTTTTATTGTTGATTGATTTTAAAAAATTTATTATTATATTCACATGTTTGTATTTTTATTACTAGAAGAGAAGATATCATTGAATTGTATGTCATTTGAAAGGCTGTCACGAAGACTCAAAGCTCATATAAAATACATTCAGTTAGAGATTGTTCTCTGTGCGTAGATAAACTAATTTTATCGAGACTCAAAACGAACGAAACACCCTGTATAAATATTCATCTAAATAAATGACTATTTTTTTCTTTTATGTAGACCAATTTTTAGTCTAAGAATAAATGTCAATTCTTATACACAGCAAGTTAGTTTCGGGAGTCTTGTTAAGAAGAAGTTCTCTTAATTTTTATATTAATATATTGTAAGCTAATTTTGAGTGAAATCTAAATGATTCTAAGAAAAGTATGAATAATAGTTAGATTTCATCGAAAAACAACTTACAATATATAAATATACACAAAATAAGAAGATTTCTTATTAACAAAACTCACTGTACAAATCTGCTGTCTATTATAGTTTCGATTTATTCTTAAATTCAAAAGACTATGGATCAGTAGGTTCGTATCCTGATCCTAGTAGTAAAACATGAAATTACCATCGATTTATTGCAAGCATGGTGCCAGTTTTTGCTACTACCTGAAAATAACGCCGTTTTTTCTCTGGTTCGAATTACATGGGTTGTTCTTATATATAGCGCTAGCAGAAGAAAGAACAGGAAGAAGAGAAAAAACTTAGAGTAGAAGAACAGGTATTCCGGAAAGGTGTTTATCAAAGAGTAAACATATATCGATGTCATCACAGTGAATAATGAAGATAGCTCATGATACATGGTCATGAAAGAGAGAAAGACAAAGCATATAGTCATAAGAGATGACAAGAACAGTTTAAAAACCATGTGTGAATAATCAATCCGAAAAAAGTGAGAGAGCAGATAATTACACACAATAAAGTCAGCTGCTTACATCCACATACAGACATAAACATGTTTATGTTTTTTATATTTCGTTTACTGTTTAAGGTACTTGTATTTTCGAACTTTCTTCGTTTGTCTCGGTCCTCATAGAACATAGATTGTTATAGGTGACTTAATAGAAAAAATTGAAATTTCTTGATTTTAATGATTACTCAATCAATGCAACAAAAGATAATTTGGATTTTATCATTCATTTTTGTCAATTATTTTATTGTTTTATGCCGTATTTCAATAAAATCCATATCAAAGAGTGTTCATTTTTCAAATCATACATTCATCTCAACAATTTCTCAGTATCCGAAAGTACGATGTATTGTATACGTGAAAGATAGTGCTGGTCGTCTTGGTAATCGCAGGTTTATGATTGCTAGTGCTTACGGTCTATCTCGCCTACACTCTTATCATTTGTATTTGACGCCAGCCATTGCCAATTAAATGAAAAAAGTTTTCATTTTGAACCTTTCTTCTTTTCTCATTTCGTCAACAGTGCTCAACTCAATCTTGCATAATATTTCGAAATCAAGACCTATAATAATTAAGAGTGTTGTATGTCAATATATTCCTGAACTAACACGTCCCAATACAATTTCATCGGGAGATATTTTTGAATTGCAAGGTTATTGGCAATCCTATCTTCATTTTTCTAAATATAATGATGATATTCGACAACAAATCTTTGCCACAAAAAAATCTGTACTTGAGAAAGTCTCGAAATTATTTGTTGATCTTTTTGAAAAAAAGTTTGGTTTGAAACATCGGTTTTTATTAGAAAACCATCAGTCATTCAAAAAAACAATTAGTGGATTCAAATTTGACAACATTGATTGGCATTCATGTACGCCGTTCAGACTTTGTTTCTGTGCATTATTTCTTCGTCAGATCAATATTTATTCACGGCTATGGAATATTACACATCACAGTATTCAAATGTTCATTTCATAGTCGCTAGTGATGATAAATCTTATTGTAAAAAGTTGTTCCGTGATCGACCCAATATCTCCATTACACCACAAACATTTTTCATGGGTGATGATCTAGTAACACTTTCACTCTGTGAACATTCAATCATTACCGGTGGCACATTTGGATGGTGGTCAGGTTATCTTGCTAATGGTCAAGTTCTCCACGATAAAGTATATCCATCTGGATGTGAAAAACGCGAACGCTACTATCCACCATGGTATCTCATAGACGGAAAAGTACGAGCACATAAAAACAGCAACTATACTCTGTAATAAAAAAAATACAAAAGAAAAGAACAGTGAAGTTGTTATAGTGCCCAATAAGGTGAAAAAATTTGACTTTTGAGGTTTGAATCCAAATCATAAATAACATTAAAGATACTATGTTTCTTCGTTTAACTATAGCTTGAACTCTGAATGAAGTTGAGTATCCGTGTTACAAAAGCTTACGAAGAAACATATTTGAGTGTCGCGCCCCCCCCCCCCCCCCTGAGAAGAAGTTCAATAGTATTCTATGGATTACGGACCATGGTCTATATCTCAAATATCAACATCTTCGCTGCCATCGTTTAGGTCTTGAAAAAGTAGAGTATCAAACTTTTTCATTTTTAGATCCTTTCTTAATAGTAGATGCATCATGTCCTTTTTCGCTTTTGTTAAATTTGCAAGAACAAGCAGTTTTCTTTGGAAGAAAGCGACTTGAAATAAACATAAGTCGATATGGAGAAGCCATCTCGTTATCACTATAGTGAAGATATCACATCGATCGCTCCGACTTAGCTATCTATGTCTACTGTATTTCTGTAGTATCGTAAACGATAAGTAATCAATCAGATGAGCATTTGATTGAGAAGCGTAGATGTGACATCTTCACTCGTGATAACGAGATGGCTTCTCCATATCGACTTATGTTTATTTCAAGTCGCTTTCTTCCAAAGAAAACTGCTTGTTCTTGCAAATTTAACAAAAGCGAAAAAAGACATGATGCATCTACTATTAAGAAAGGATCTAAAAATGAAAAAGTTTGATACTCTACTTTTTCGAGACCTAAACGATGGCAGCGAAGATGTTGATATTCGAGATATAGACCATGGTCCCTAACACATAGAATACTTCTGAACTCCTTCTCAGGGAGGACACGCAAATACGTACCCTCGTGAGAAGAAAAATGAAAAACACAGTTCAAGGTGTTTATAGATGGTTGAATCATTTAAATCACTTTTTTGCCAACTTGAATTATTTTCTCAAGACAATGATTCTAAAGAGATCACGACCCATGAAAACTTAAAGCACATTGTCAATAGAGGTCAGGCAAGAAGAAACAAATTCATAAAAGCGTTCAGTGGGAAATTCAGAGTTTTTATCATAGAGAATAATCATGATCGTTAAATGTATTTTGAAGCTCATTAGAGTTAGTATCAGATCATCTTTAAGCCTTGTCTGCTATGAAAAAGATGAGAAAAATGTTTTGGAAGAGGAAAAACGAATATTGCCTCCAGCGCCCCCAGCGTAAACCCATTACTAAACGCGTGATTTTTCATTTCAATCTTTCCATAATGAATTTACATTTTTATATGCTTGCCTAAAACAAGTTACTATGTATGTGATTGGTCAAAAATATTGTATAATCCGGAATATGCGGATTCGGTTTTTCATATATAGAGAAACGATACAATAGAGAAAACATACCGGTAGTTACGCTTCAATCGTTACTGTTTAGTCAAAACAAGGTTTATTTTTTGTTTACGAAGTGCTTTACAAATGTGATTATTTTTTTGTTGTACTGCTCTCAAGCTTGTTTTTCTCTTTGAACCATATTAATCACTAATATATAATATTCTGATTTTTTTTTATTACATCAATTACACATTTTACTCTATGTCGCCTCTTTTTTTTAGCAAGGGTAATGCAGTTACGACGTAATTGTGTCACAATTCAATCGTCATCGAAAATATGAGTGTGTTTACATTAATCTTAAGAGACAAGTTCGTTGAAGGGCATCCCCTCCGTTCCAAAATTTCTCAAGAACGGTTCAACCAAAAATGATGAAACTTTCAAGGTAGATCGATATCGACTAGTAGAGTAAAAGTTGTCATAGATTCATAATTTTCAGATGCTTCCTTCTATGATGTATAGAGAGCGTAGAGGCCAAAAATGATTTGAAGCTTTTCCTCTTACAAACAACCAAAATTCGTTTTTTTTTGTTGAACTTTTTGTAGTAGGTAGGACCGAATCTGGGTGTATATATATTTTTTTCTTTGACAAATATTGTTTCTTGCGCTTAGAATAACTGAAATCCCTATCAAAAACATCTTTATTCTCCTAGGGCAAACTTTTTAACATATGCCAAAAATCACCAGAACATTATTTTAAGAAAAGAAAGAATATATACCCTCCGATTTGGTCATGGTTGTCACAAAAAATTTCAGCTCAATCGGTCAAAGCGTTTGAGAAAAATGAAATTGAATAAAGTAATTTTTCGGGTCAAGAAAGGCGATGTACCCTTAAAAGCATTGAATTGGTTAAAAAAACGAGAAAAAAAAGACTCATTGTGGAACGTAATCATATCCATCAGAAAAATCTTTGCAAAAATATGTTTTCTGAGTTGACATCTCCTCGTTAACACGCGTGTCTTTAAGAGCCTTATCTGACTGACTGCATGCTGAATATTGTTGCTTGCTGCATGTGAAGATATAATAATGCTTTTGTAGAGAACACACACGTGTGCATGCAATACAGTTTTACAACAGTTAGAAAAACAAAATATATATATAGTAACCATACATGAACACGTAGGATTTTATTTCCACAGATAAGATTCGATCATATATACTTTACTTGATAAGACGAACTGTTTCACCCTTCGATCACCTACTTACATGAGAATTGCAATCAAAACTGAAGAACATAATAATCATTAGATCACTGCTTAACATCTGTGTGCACGAATACTATTAACTATAGTCCAGTTCAAAAAGTAGAGCAAGGTCTTTGACCTATTATAATATGATTATATGAAAGTGATTTCATATTAATAAAGGATAAATAAATATCCTCCTCAGAAAAAAAGCTAACTTCCTGTTTACACACTACAAAATAGAAGATATTTGCATGTGTTTGCAACATACATACCTTTGCACAACAATTGCAAATATTTGAACAACTTATATCTTCTTGCATAAAAGATGACGACTTGAAAGCTATTTTGTAAAAAAACGCAAATGTCTGAATGTCCTGCAAATATATGGTTTTTTAAAAGGGTTGTCGCGTTTGACTAGGCTACACATAATAATAACAATAGATTCTTTTCTTTTTATCATGTTTTCAAAAAAAAATCAATATTGAATTTTCGAACAAATTCTCGCCTCCACTCGAAGTATTCATTGTTATCCTTGTAAAATCATTATTCTTAGGATACCTGTTAGTGAATTTAATGTAATAAAAAGTAATTCTTTTTCTTTTCTTCAAGAAACAAACACTTTTTTTCTTTGTACAGTCACTAATTTTAGAAGATCAAAATTTCATGATTTTCAGGAAATGCCTCAATCATGTTCGATCGAGAAATGTACCCGTATATCACGGTGGCTGTGTGACTGTTGCCAACAAAATCTTTGTTTACAACATTTAAATGAACATAATGCTGCGCTTATTTCTCAACTCAATCCTTTGAATGAAAAGCTTAATTCAATTGAAGATTGTCTTGATACACTAATTATTCAAAATATAATTGGTAATAGTCGTGAAAAACTTGAACAATGGCGTCAAGATTGTTATAAGAGGATCGATCATTTTTTTGAACAAAAATGTCAAGAACTTGATCAACTTATTAATGAAACAGTTGGTCAACAACGAGAGGAACTTCATCAAATACAATTGAAGATAACTGAACTGATTAATGCACAAGAAACAACTCGTGAAGATATCGATTTATTGACATCAGCGATTGATGAAATTGAAAAAAATATGAACAATATTGAAGAAACATGTTTGATGATTAATACTCATCCATTACTCATAGATGATAACCTTGTTTTTATAGAGAAAACAACTAAACATGAACTTGACCTATCAACTCTTTCACCTGTCTACAGAAAAATTCGTTATTCTAATGGAAGTTATATAATACTAACTGGCAACGATCGATACTTATTAATACATCAATATCCAGATTTATGTTTGTTTGATCAAGAACTGGACATAGTTAAACAAACGTTATGGTCAAATGGTGAGATTCGAGATAGTTGCTGGTCATCAACGTTAGATCGATTCATTGTGTTTGGACAAAATAACATCTTTCTCATTGACGAAAATACAATGTCCATTGATTACGTACAGACAGTTGAAGAACGATACTGGATATCGTGTACATGTTCTGATACAGTTCTCTTTGCATGCACAAACGAGCGTGCTTCATCTATTATGAAATTCGCATTATTACCAGCAGTCGAATTGACTACAGAATGGAAATGCCCTCGAATATGTAGCAATGATGAAATGATTGATGATGTTATTCACAATAATGGAAATCTTGCTCTAACGGTGAAGAATATCTTCGAGAAATCAGTGCGCATTGAATTGATAGATGCAAAAACCTTCGATCGCATCTGGACATGTCCACTTGATATTAGGTACGACCAAAAGATACCATTTCGTTTTTGTTCACTCACTTTTAATCAATGGCTCATTGTCGATCATGAAACTGGAAGTCTAATCCATATTACAAAAGACGGAACAATAAAGAAAACAATTCAATATGACTCGAAGCCCTATGATGCTGTTCTGGTTGACTTGAATATACTAGCTATATCCACTATGGATGGTGTATATCTGCATATATTTCAATCAAATGAATGACTGCTTTTGTTTCATGTTTTGCTTTACTTTTTCTATGAAGAATTCAAAATAAGAAAAAAATTAACCATATTTTAGTGAAATACTATTTAAGATTGATATAAGAATCAAGCTGAGTTACATAATCTTAATCATATTTTATCAAAGAACACGAAAAAAAAGACACAAAATATCTGACAAAGAAATTTTCTTCTAATTAAGATGAATTCATTTGTTGTTCAAGTAATAAACGAGCCATTTGAACAAATTTTGGTGCTGCCATAGCTACTGATTCATCTGATTCACCATTCACTGGTGACTAAAACAAAAATTTAACAATCATGATAATATCTATGTATTCATAAACTTTTACCATACGAATAGGATCTGCATACAATAAAAAAAAGACAAACAGGGTACAAGTGGAAAATTTTTTTTTGTACTTGAACATGATTTCTTAAAACATATTTGTCCTAATGATAAATCCCACATGACACAATCTTTATCAAGACTGCCAGAATATAAAATCCGTTCATCTGCACTTAATCGAAGTGATATAACAGTACCTCTAAATCGACAACATTCTCGTTATAAATCATGTTCAAATATAATCTTGATGTTCAATCAATTGTTATTATTCGATTTTGATGTTAAATTTCTCCAAACTAAAATTTCATTCAACAATAATAAAATATTTTTTCTTCTGCTTGTTATTTACTTGTATTGTTAATGTTCGTAATGGAACAATAAAAATTGTACCAGTATCTGTACCACAATAGATTGTTATAGAAAATGATGATGCACATATTGAACGAATTTCATTTGGAAATAAAAATGTATTACTTTAGAAAAGACAACAAAGATTATTAAAACCTACTCGAACACTAAGATCACTTGACGCAGTTAAAAGTAAATGAAATTTACCATTTAATATTTGACAAAGATCATGAATAAGATCTGTATGACCTTGAAATGATTTCGATCAGGACTTATTCTTTAACAAAAAAAAACCAGAATACTTTTTTTGCTACCAAACAAACGTTATTCTTTACTTTTCAATACTCCATCGATGAATAAATGATTTATTATTCGCATATGTGCTGAAAGTGTTATTAAATGTTGACCATTATCAAGCTAGATAACCAATTGAAATGATACGCTATTTTTTTTTATTATTTCAATTTATGAAGAAATATTTTGTTACCTGTTGAACAAGCTAAGGCAGTTGAATCACGAATAAATGTCATTGAGCTAGCAAATGTACTAACTGTTACCTTTTTATAATTTCGATTTTAGAAGTAGATGTGAATAAACCGTATTGATTATAAATTCGTTAGAATCGTATTCAATTGTTTAAGTTCGAAACGTAAATTGAAAGACGATCAATAGCAGTCGCATAGATATGGTCGTTAGAATATATGAGTGTATGACATGCAACAAATGCATTACATTTCAACGAAAAAGAACATTAACATAAAATTATGTAAGAATGGTGTTCAATGCATGGGCAGCTCAGTCGAATTCATGAGTGTACGATATGCATACATCAACCATAACGATATTATTAATTCGATAATCATTCATGAATAGTGAGATATATTCAGTTCGACGTTGCATTTCTTTACAGTCCTTCTTGGAAGCTACAATATTGTACTCTTTTAAACTTTTTGAAACATGCAACACATGAGCAGAATTACCACTCATCTTCTTTTTTCTTTTCTTATTTTTATCTGCTTTTAAAAGTTTTATTATTTTCAATAATTTGTATCGATATTCTTCAAGTGTGTCAACTCATTTGTTCGGAAATGTCAGAGAAGATTCTTATTAACTTCTGTTAATGATATTTTCTTCTTATTATTATCTTTTAAGAAGAACATGTGTTTGATATGGATTACGATAAGTACTACTCCGATTTTCTTTTTTTTGCTTTTTACTCTCTTCTTTATTTGCATTGCTTTCTTTGATTTTAGGATTATAGTTTACAAAGCATTTTATTTCATTGATATGATTCAATAACAGTTTACATATATCTTTTTCATGAGTTAAGCAGTTTTATTAAATTAATTTTGAAAAGGCTGCAAATGAGTATAACAATAATTAGAGATATTTCTAATGACTAGATATCAACTCTTGATCTTGAACTGTGCAATAATATTTTCGTTTCAACAAAAGAGTTTTGAAATTATTGCGAACTTTTGAGCTGTCAAAATAAATGTTATATAAGATGAATTTGTACTTGATAAGAACTATCAATTTGGAAAAACATTAGCCGAAATCTCCAAAAATGATATATGAACTGAATTCTTTGTGTATTATTTGTTCGAATTGTTTTAGACCATAAGTACTTAGCAGGACATACTAATTCAAAAAGTATTTTTTTATTGTTTCAAAACGGTCAATTAGTAAGAGCAGTCAAATTATATAGTCTCTTAGAAATATTTGTGTTTTATCATAAAAAACAAGAGTAAATTTTGACTTCTAATACACGATTAGAAAGAGCAGTTTTTAAAATACAAAAATCACCATAAAATATAGTTTTTCATTTCACTTCTAGTATAAAAATAATTAACGGAAACTTAAAAATGATGTCGCACAATGGTGAAGTTGAAAGAAATTTTCAAGAGGTGTTTGGCTTTTGGCGTTTTCTTCTTCTTCGATTCATTTTAAAAAAATGTGTCTGCAACAAACTTTGTAGTTCAGATCTTATTCTTTTCAATAGAAAAAAAATATAGGAAAGTGATATAATAGAGAAAAAAAACTAATTACGCTTCAATAGTTCCTCTTTAGTCAAAGCAAGTGTTTTTTTTGTTTATACAATGCTTCACAAAGGTAGTTACCTTTTCGTTGTATAATTGTTAAGTTTGCTTTTCTCTTTTAACGATATTAAACATTAGTATATAATATTCTAGATTTTTTTATTACTTTTTTTTCATATGATCTTCCACAGCTTTCGTCACTCGTTCATGTCTAACAAAAAATCAAGAACATCAATGATTCTATAGAAACTCCACCATCAAATACGTCAACTATACGTTCTGTCTAGGTCGTCTTTGTTTAGTCACTGCGAAACAGTTACGACCTAATCAAGTCACAGGTACCGATGATAGTGTAATCGTTTATACAGCCTAATTGTGTTACAAAGCAATCGTCATCGAAAACATGAGTGCGTTTGAGGTAATGTGAAAAGATGAAGTTCATGTAAGAGTCTTTTTCTGTTTTTCAAATTTATTAAGAGCAGCTCGACCAATCTCCTAGGGAAAAATTTTGTAAGATATGCCAAAAATCACTAGAACTTTATTTTAAGAAAAGAAAAAATATATGCAGCCCGATTTGATTCTAGTTGTTACACAAAAACTTTCAGCTAAATTGGTCAAAATGTCTCGGAGAGAAAAGGAGAAACTCTGATTTTTCTCTAAAAAAAAATTGATTTGGAGAAAAACACGAAACAATATAAAGCGATAGTTTCTTCATATTTCAATTTTTACATTTTGTATGCATTGCTATCAATTACTACACTTCCAAAGCCTCTAACTCACACAACATACTTAGATGATAAAATAACTGTATTAATATAGGCCATTTACAACACTGTAGAGCTATAGAACGTGTTTTTGTATGGAGGATCTCTAAAGTGGCATTTTTTAAGGATCTGAAAAAATATGAAAACTTTTCATTCATATGTCATTCGATAGAGAACACTTCAATATCTTTTCAGATATAAAAAAATCGAAATCGAAAAAAAAATGAATGTTTGGCGTCGAGAAAGGACGGTATGTCCTGAATTGCGTTTAATTGCTTAAAGAAAAATAGAAAAAAAAAAGTAATTGTTAAAGATAATCATATATATACATGCATGAAATTTTCCGCATGTACACGAGTATACTGTTGTTGAAAATTCATACATGTGTATGCAAAAGAGTTGTAGAATGACCTTAAAACGAAACAACATACGTTGTAAGTATACATGAACATGCAGGATTTTTTTTTCTAGAGATAAGATTCGATCATACATATTTTGCTTCATAAGATGAATTTGTTCACTATTCGATCATCTAGTTACATTAGATAGGAGAATTCGAGGAATTGAACAAGATTTCTCAAGTAAAATGATATCTATACATGAGATTGATTCCAGTTTAATGAGAAATCATGCATGTGTTATTGTCTTTCACCGATGCGTAACAATTGCAGATATTGGAAAAGGTGCCATCGTCATGCATAGGATATGACGACTTGAAAATTATTTTCCAAACATATGTAAGTTTCTGAACCCGTCCTGTAAATACATACTCTTTTTTTAGGTTTTTCTATTTGAGTAAGTTATACATATTAGAAACCTCTTCAAAAAGAATGAATATTCTATTTTGAGATGAATAATCACCTCCAGTCAAAGCATTCATTGTTATTCTTGTGAAATCATTATTCGTACGACACCTGTTAATTGAATTTAACGTGAGAGAAAAAAAAAACTTAACTTTTGTGATCTGAATACATAGATAATCATGTTTTTTCTTCAGTAAACAAACAGATTCTATTTTTAAACATAAGAATTTTGTTATTCTCATCGAATGTCTCGATTATGTTTGATTGAGAAATGTAGCTGAATATCATGTTGGCTGTGTAATTGTTGCCAACAAAATCTTTGTTTACAACATTTGAATGAATATAATGCTGTACTCATTTTTCAACTGAATGTACTTGAAGATCGTCTCAATACACTAGATATTCAAAAACTAACTGGCAATAGTCGTGAAAAACATGAACAGTAGAGTCAAGATTGTTTATTTGAACAAAAATGTCAAGAACTTGATCAACTTATTGATGAAATAGTTCGTCAACAACAAAAAGAACTCAATCGAATGCATTCAAAAATAACTGAACTCGTTAATAAAGAAGGAACAACTCATCAAGATATCAATTTATTGACATCAACTCGAAAGAAATATGAGCACACTTGAAGAAACACGTTTTACAATCGATAGTCGTCCTACAGAACAATTGCTTGCCTTAAAAGCAGTATTGAATTATTAACTGGTGGTGATCGCTACTTATTGAAACACCAAGAGCCTAACTTATGTTTATTTGATAGAAAAATGAACATAGTTAAACAAACATTATGGTCGTAGGATGAAATTCAGAACATGTATTGGTCTTTAGCATTAAATCAATTCATTATGTTTGCAGAGAATAACATTTTTCTCATAAACGAAAACACAATGTCTATTGAAAATGTGCATACAATCAAATCATGTACATGTTTTGACATAGTTCTCTTTGCAAGCACTAATGAATTCCCTTCATCTATTCTGAAATTCATATTTTTCCCTGAGATCTAATTGACTAGGAAATGGGAATATCCTCTGACATGTAGCAAAGATAAAACTATCGATGACACTGTTTACAACAAAAAAAAATTTTAGCTCTGATGATTGTAAATGTTTCCCAGAAATCAGTGCGCATTGAATTAAGGCGGGCAAAAACGTTCGATCGTATCTGGTTACATCAACTTGGTATTCAGTGCTTTCGCAATATAGCGTTTCACTGTTGTTCACTCACGATGAGACTGGACACTTGACGCAGATTATAAAGGATGGAAAAATTAAGAAAATAAATTAATATCATCGAATTCTCTACTGTGCTACTATGTGCGACCTAAATAACGTAGCTGTACCGACTATGGATAGTGTATATCAGCATACAATTCAATCAAATGAATGACTGCATTCGTTTCATGTTTTGCTTTACTTTTTCTATGACGAATTCGAAATAATAATAGTTAATCACATTGTAGTGAAGTAGTATTTAAGATTAATTTTGAGAACCAAGATGAGTCACAAAATCTTAATCATATTTTATCAAAGAACACGAAAGAAAAAAAAGACACAAAATATCTGACAAAAGAAATTTTCTTCTAATTAAGATGAATTCATTTGTTGTTCAAGTAATAAACGAGCCATTTGAACAAATGTTGGTGCTGCCATAGATGCTGATTCATCTGATTCACCATTCACCGGTGGCTAAAACAAAAATTTAACAATCATGATAATATCTATGTATTCATAAATTTTTACCATAGGAATGAATTTGATAGAATCTTGATCAGATATTGGTCTTTGCATAGAACCATTTCGAGTTGCAATAGTATGTGATACAACTTCATCATGTGTTTCATTCGAAAAATTCTATTTAGAAAAAAATCTTTTAGCAAAAAAAAAAAGCGAAACAAATATTTTAAACGTACACTAAATGGAATAGAAATAGTTGACCCTTCATTAATATCATCAGTATCAATTTTAGCAAGAAGAATATTTGTTACAGGACCTACACATAGAATAATAATAAAAAATACATGATAAAAATAGAATAATCTCTTTCTACTTGAACATGATTTCTTGAAACGTATTTGTCCTGATGATAAATCCCACATGACACAATCTTTATCAAGACTACCAGAATATAAAATCTGTTCATCTGCACTTAATCGAAGTGATATAACAGAACCTCTAAATAGACAAAATTCTCATTATAAATCATTTTCAAATATAATCTTGATGTTAACTTTACTGATGATGATTTAGTTGTTTTGAATTATTATTATCAATTGTTATTGTTGGATTTTGATGTTGAATTCCTCCAAACTAAAATTTCATTCAACAAAAGTAAAATATTTTTTTTCCTTTTGATTGTTATTTACTTGTGTTGTTAATGTTTGTAATGGAACAATAAAAATTGTACCAGTATCTGTACCACAATAAATTGTTGTAGAAAATGATGATGCACATATTGAATGAATTTCATTTGGAAATAAAAATGTACATAAACATTTTCCTGTAACAATATCCCATAACTAAAATTCAAAATGTATTACTTTAGAAAAAACAACAAAGTTTATTAAAACCTACTCGAACACTAAGATCACTTGAAGCAGTTAAAAGTAAATGAAATTTTCCAATTGATATTTGACAAAGATCATGAATAGGACCTGTATGACCTTGAAATGATTTCGATGGAGAAATATCTAGATTTCGATCAGGACTTATTCTTTAACCAAAAACAAAACAAAACAAAACAGTTTTTTTATTTTGCAACGAAAAAAAAGAAGTTTCCTTTTACTCTTCAATATTCCATCGATGAATAAGATTATCTTCACCAACGGATATTAAACAATCTTGATCTTCATCAAATAATAAATGATTTATTGTTCGAATATGTGCTGAAAGTGTTATTAAATGTTGACCATTATCAAGCTAAATAACAAAATAAAATCATAAATTTTAATTTTAAATTTATATTTTTACTTTATAAAGAAATATTTTATTTCCTATTGCACAAGCTAAGATAGTTGAATCACGAATAAATATCATTGAATTAATAGGTCCTGCAACTGTTATTTTTTTATAATCTCGATTCTAGAAATAAATGTAAAAAAATAAAATTACTTAAGAATTAATTAAAATCTTACTCGACTATTTAATTTCCAAACATAAATTGAAGGACGATCAATTGCAGCAGCATAGATATGATCACGAGAACATAACAGACCATGACGTGCAACTGGTGCATCAGATTTAAATGTAAGAAGAACATTGCCATTTAATCCATTAAAAACGCTGATTGTCCATGGATGAGCTTGTTGAGTAGTAATTAAAACAGTCGGTTGATATTGAGCCATGGTTGTTGCCTTTGAAGGAAACATGATAATAGTAAAAAATGTTTTTTTATGTCTAATTCCAGATTGGATTCGAGAAACGAATCTCTATCCAGAGAGAAATTAACTGGTTCGTCGATACAATAGATGTCGCTGTACAAAAAAAAGAGACTCGTTGAATAAAAATAATGCATAGTTTCAAAATAATCAATGTGTTATAAAGCCGTCACGAATAACAAACATACGCCGTAGAGAAGCAATCGATGAAAAAAAAAACGTAAAATACCCATAACAATCCGTGAAATACCAACACATTTGCTAAAGTGATCAAATCCGACAGTACACTAATTGAAAATTTAAGAACACTATCAAATCCATATAGAAGATGTAAATATTAGCACTAAAAAATATATTATAAAAATGTCATCCTCATAAGACATCAGATTAGCCAATAATATCGAACCCGATTGTCAATGAACCTACAATTCGTTCCAGAGTATAATTTTGCTTAACTTTAGTTTGAATCCTTTTTGATAGACGCGTCATCGGGATCTACGATTTTCACAACATACGTATATCAATCCCTAGAATCAAAATAATTACTATCATGTAATTATAAACAATAAAAAAAAGATGATTAACCATAAAGACCAGAAACATTATGTTTTTTTTAGCCATGATGAAAGAGATTCAATAGCATTCCAATGACTATACTGTTGTGTATAAGCACTAACAATTAATCCTGATGCATAAATTTTATTTGATTCAACCCATCGAAGTATACCAAAATCATCAACAGCTTTGCCATCGGGTACACGTAAAGAATTTTAAATATAAAATAAATATTCAAAGGTTAAGATATAAAGAAACAAACCATAATTGCCAATAAGTGGAAAAGTAAGGACTAGAATTTTTCCACAATAAGATGAATTAGTCAATGATTCAGTATAACCGACCATACCAGTCTGAAAGACTAAATAAAAATAAAAATACATGACAAAAGAAGAGATCAATTAATGGAATCTTACCGACTTCATCGGTAGCATTAGTTGACGCTCCAAATACAAAACCATTGAATTTAGAATCATCTTCAAGTATTAAAGTTCCACGCTGCATCTTAAAAAAAGCTAAAATAAAAATAGTTCATTATTTAAAAACCGATAACTGATGTATTTATATAAATGAAAAACAACTACTGTATATAAATACGTTTGTTCTATCAAGACTTTAAAAAGTATTATCTTTTTATATTCCATTGCACGAGATTTTGTACAGAATCGGAAAATAAACTTAATTAAGCTGTATTCGAAATATATGAGAAATATGGGCTAGGATATTGGATGGAGTCTATTCGCAGAAATGAGACGATGTAACCATTTGAATCATATTAACTTGAATTTTTCATCAATACTTTCTGACATATATCGTTATGAGATTTCAGCACTACATCTATTTCTCTTAGTTGAATGTATTTCTGAGATAAACCGACAAAATATTATAAGAATATCTTATTATGTTTTACTAAGACACAACACACTATAATGAATGTTAGAACATATAAATTTGTAACGAAATATTTACTATAGAATTATTTAAAACAGTTAATTGCACTCTCAAGAAAATAACGAAAGCATCACGCTGTAAAAAATAGAACTTTTGTATAAGCAGGAGATTGACAATACAAGAACGTGTACCTAAAACATCATATCTCCAACGAATTATAACTCTTCTAATCTTTACAATCTTTGTTGCATGTGAACGTCAAACTTCAACTCTACATCCATATTAGCTTGATGGATTCCAGTAAATTTTATTATGTCAATAAAAGATAGAATGAATTAATTTGCATTTTATTCAGAACAGAATCAAGTATAGTTGCTTTTGATGAAGATAATCATTGAGTTAAATGGCTAGGAATCTACGGATTCGAGCATTAGAATCGTTGATCTGTATGAATCTTTCCCTTTTTTATTTAGTACATCCTTTATGAAACTTCGTCATTATACATTTTGATACATTGTACTTACAGAAAAACGTAGTCACATACACTTTATTGATATAAGTCAGGGCTTTGATGAACAATACTTATGATGTTTGTATCTTTGTTTTAATTCGCTATTTCGTCTAAGAAACTTATTATTGTCTTATCTTATACGAAATAAACTAAATGAACGACTAGGACTATTTAAGCAGAGTAATAAAACTGAACGTATTCAAAAGAATTAGAACCATCAATCAACCTGCTTTAGTCTGCAAGCATTCCAAAGTAGGCTAGGTCAAAAAAGTAGTCTAATAAGACATTTTGTTCCGGAGTTTCATTAGAAATACTGTTGTAATATTGCTAAAAATAATGTTTTTTTTTTCTACAGAAGTATCCATTGATAGTCAGGGTATTTTATTGAGACGAAATGCCTTCTCTAGTGGATGTCAGAAAGCGCGCAATAGTAGAAATACATTACGATTTCTTTTGCAATGTGTGACGCTGTCATTCTATGGCTAATGGCCGAATCAGCATTTCTAAAGCAACAGACACTAATTGCTTTATTATTGGGAAACGTATACAATCGAGAATTTAAAAAAAAAGAGAATGGTGATCATGAATATAGAAGATATGTATGCTTCATATTTAGTTGATAAGAACTATCATACCCATGTAAACACCAGACGCAGAATATACGCGTGTTATCGCAGTTTCATTGTAGACCGCGTTCAGACGCGCTAAAAATTGATTTTCACCGCGTTTGAACGCGGTTTCTTTTACAGTCGCGTCTATACGCAACTGAAGAAAATTTTCAAACGCATCTGGACGCGATTGTAAATGAAACCGCGTTCGGACGAGGTTACAATCGATCTCTATTCGCGTCTGAACGCGACCAAAAATAAAAAAGCATCTAGACGCAGCCGCAGGAGATTTTGAATCGCGACTGGACGCGATTTTTTACGAGACCGCATGAAAACGCGTTTTATTAAAATTTTTCAAGCGCGTTTGGATGCGGTTTAAGATAGAACGCATCAAGACGCGGTCAGATGGAGATCTGCGCCGTCGCTTAACGCATTTTTTATGGAACCGCGTTTGTACGCAGGTAATAATACTGTTTAGACGCATTCGGATGTGATTTTACGTGAGAGTGCGTCTATACATGATTGACCAAAAACTATTTAAAGGAAGACATAAAATTTTATTATCTATACTCTGGTGGACTTTGGCAAGAATAGAAAGAAATGTTTGGTTTAAAGATTTAGGTACTTATATAAGAGAAAGATGTTTTTATCGTAGCATAATAAATTTCTTTAGAAACTTCATCTTTTAATGTGTGAAAAAAGTAATACGAGTGGCCATTAGTATAATGAGACTATCTCTCTACTCTGTACTATTTCTACTAATCGATAGCCTGTTTTCAAAATAAGGGATAAATAAAAAAGTTTTGCATCAAACCGTAGATCAAGAAGTCTGCTCTAAAATAAGAAAGATAAAATTTATTTTCACTTATTGATCAAAAAACTCTTTTTGAAATTTAAGTTATAAATTATGTCCTCAATTTGAACTTTGTTTTAAAGATAAAATACACTTTGTCATAAAACAACTGTACCTCAAGTGTTTAAATTTCATGGTTGGCGTAGTGTTCAATTCATTTCGAATCGTGTGTGTTGTTTTCATTTTATATTGTTACGGAAGGAAGATACGCAAGAAGATACTCAAACCCGAATAGAAAATCTAATAGACAAACCTCTTTTCTAGGTTTCCTAGACGTACACACCATCTCTACCTTATCCATTGTGTATACATAAGAAAAACACTCGCAAAATCTGTACTAAGTGCTCTAATGACGTATATAAATTTGCTAAAAAACCTCAAAGAAGATGACATTTTAGAAATTAAAAAAAAAATCTTTCTATGTTAACATGATTTGAAAAAAGCTTTGGTAAACGCTTTTTTATATAATAAAAAAGAAAGACGAAAAAAGTACATGATATTTGATAAAATATAATAGCTATATAATAAGTTCTAAAAGATAGGCACTATTTAGTATTATAAATAATAGTCTTACACGACAAAATAAATGAAAATTATTTGCAAAAGAAAAAGTTGTCGAAAATTTTAAAGAAATTTTAATATACGCAATTTATTTTATACAAGTTTATTTTCATACAAGAATATCAATATTAACAAATGAGATATAATTTAGGCAGAAAACGTTCTGTTGATAAATGCATTTGTACATAATATCGATATGAAGTCACGATTCATATATACTTTCTGTTTCATTCGACAACGATTGTGGTCACATGTGGCTTCATGGTATGTATACTTGCTTCTTAATTGCTAGTTCACTTGTTCTAATCTCATTTCTATCGTTTTAGATAAATCAATATTTCAACCTTCCGTTCGCCTATAGTGAGGTAAAGACCATCGTTAGGGGATATCGATGGCGACTCAGTTCAAACCTGAGACGGATTGCAATATTTTTTAAAAATCTTGAATGTCGAATCGAACGCGTTTAGACGCGATTTAATTTGTAATCGCGTCTAACCGCAATTTGGTTTGGAACCGCGTCTCCAATGAAACATTTCTTGCGTCTAGCCGCGGTTGGAGAAAACCGCGTCTCCAGTGAAACATTTCCTGCGTCTAGACGCGGTTTTTTACAACCGCGTGTAGACGCGATTTTCTCCAACCGCATCTAGCCGCAGGAAATGTTTCACTGGGGACGCCTTTTTTGCGTTTCTTCGCTGGGATTGACACGCAACGAAACGCAACTCAGACGCGTTTTTATCAAAAAAATATTTACATGGGTATTCTTAATTTTATGAATAATAGAACATTTATTCTTGTTGTATTATGATTGCTTCTCATAAAGTTCAAAAAGTGAACTCGATAAAATAATCAAAGTTTTATAGTTTTTTTTTGTAAATACAAAAGTAGGATTATGCATTGAAAAAAGAAGCTTGATTTAGGGAGTTCATATAGATGTGAAATATTGTGGACATATATTATGGACTTGGAAAACTATGACTATTTGCAAAAGCGTTGAAATTATTGCCACTGTTTTGTTGAGGAACATTGTTGCCTTCAGCCCACCATACGTTATTATCGGGACCGACCAAAGATATGGTTACATAACCAGGATTAGCAGGAAAGGGTATGCATTCAGTCTGTTCAAGTTGAGTAATTTTGTAGCTAGTCTTAGATCCATTCAAGTCAACTACCACCGTATATTGTCCTCCGTTGGGATTGACGCTTTTGACGATAGAGTGGACAGCTACGCAATCTTGAGCATCATTACGATATTGAGGAACATCACCATTAACATTATTCTTAGGATGAATACGATACCACCAATAGAATTGATCATTCGTAACAGTGGGTCTGACATTGTTCTTGTACCATTGAATATAATGTTTTGAGAGTTCTAACCAGGCATTATGATGCATAGGTTTTGGACTATTAATCATGCTATTGATGCCTGCCATACCAGTAGGTAGATCACTACTAATAGAACATACATAAGAGGATTCCGAGTAGTCATTCCATGTAATAATTTGAACAAAATCTGGTTGTAAAGAAACGATCTGTTGCCATCTTTCTGGTAAAAGTCTTTCGGAACCATAGATCCAGTTCTTATACCATCCTGTTCCCCATACATATGTGTAGAACCATGGAGCAAGTGGGGCCATATAAGTTTTGCCGGTAGCTTTAGCACTAGCAAGAAGATTTCTATCACCGGCAGTGTCGAAGCGAGTGCCAGGTCCAGAATTACCAGCAGGCCAAGCATTCCAAGTAAATATGCAATCAGCAACAGGATGTGATTGTAATAGATTGGTAGTTGGATAATTAGGCCAACTAGGACAAAAGTAAGGATTGAATCCACTAGTAACTTTCCAATTTGTCCAGAAATTGTCTTGGTTTTCGCCAGCAAAAGTAGAATAAAAAGGTCTACCGTTCACTTTGAAATAATTAGGATGACTAGCAGCAAAATGGAAACGACTAAGGACGCCATTATTAAATGTAAGTGAAGACATATCGAAAGAGATAAACATAGTAAAATCCCCATTATTCTGAGCAGCAGCAAGAGCCTTAGCTACACGATCTGGTTGCCAGTCATCGATGCCAACATTAA